ACCCCACAGAGGACATCGAGGTGCGTTTCTCGGCGGAGGGCTGGGAGGCCAAGGGCTCCTTCGCCCAGGCCGACGTCCACCGCCAGGTCGCCATCGTCTTCCGTACCCCCCCGTACCGGGAGCCCGCCCTGCGCCACCCCGTCACCGTCCGCATGCAGCTCCAGCGGCCCTCCGACCGCGAGCGCAGCGAGCCCATGGACTTCCGCTACCTGCCCCACCAGGGTACGGCCTGCGCGGGCGGGCGGCCTTGGGGGGTCCCCTTTGGGGTACCCCTGGGTGCCTTTGGGGCACTTCTGGGTCCCTTTAAGGCACTCTGGGTGCCCTAGGGGTACTTCTGGGTCCCTTTGGGGTACCCCTTGGTTCTCTTCTGGCACCCTGGGTTCCCTAGGGGTACACCTGGGTCCCCTTGGGGTACGCTTGGGTTCCTTTGGGGTACCCCTGGGTCCCTGGAGGCACTTCTGGGTCACTTTAGGGCACTTCCGGGTCCCTTTGGGGTACCCCTGGGTCCCCTCCTGGCACTCTGGGTGCCCTAGGGTCATGCCTGGGTCCCCTTGGGGTCCTCCTGGGTCCCTTTGGGGTACCCCTGGGTGCCTGGGGGCACTTCTGGGTCCCTTTGGGGCCTTGGGGGTCCCCTTTGGGGTACCCCTGGGTCCCCTTTTGGTACCCTGGGTGCCCTAGGGTCATGCTTGGATTCCCTAGGGCACTTCTGGGTGCCTGGGAGCACTTCTGGGTCCCTTTGGGGTACTCTTCAGTCCCCTTGGGGCACTTCTGGGTCCTTTTAGAGCACTTCTGGGTCCCTTTGGGGTACTTCTGGGTCCCCTTGGGGTACCCCTGGGTCCCCTTCTGGCACCCTGGGTGCCCTAGGGGTGTGCCTGAGTCCCCTTGGGGTACGCTTGGGTCCCTTTGGGGTACCCCTGGGTGCCTTTGGGGCACTTCTAGGTCCCTGGGGGCAATTCTGCGTCCCTTTAGGGCATTTCTGGATCCTTTTGGGGTACCCCTGGGTCCCCTTCTGGCACCCTGGGTGCCCTAGGGATGTGCCTGGGTCCCCTTGGGTCACTTTTGGGTCCCTTTGGGGCATTTCTGGGTCCCCTTGGGGCAATTCTGGGTGCCTTTGGGGCACTTCTGGGTCCCTTTAAGGCACTCTGGGTGCCCTAGGGGTACTTCTGGGTCCCTTTGGGGTACCCCTTGGTTCTCTTCTGGCACCCTGGGTTCCCTAGGGGTACACCTGGGTCCCCTTGGGGTACGCTTGGGTTCCTTTGGGGTACCCCTGGGTGCCTGGGGGTACTTCTGAGTCCCTTTAGGGTACTTCTGGGTGCCCTTTGGGGTACCCCTTGGTCCTCTTCTGGCACCCTGGGTCCCTTTGGGGTACACCTTGGTTCTCTTCTGGCACCCTGTGTTCCCTAGGGTTGCACCTAGGTCCCCTTGGGGTACGCTTGGGTTCCTTTGGGGTACCCCTGGGTGCCTGGGGGTACTTCTGAGTCCCTTTAGGGTACTTCTGGGTGCCCTTTGGGGTACCCCTTGGTCCTCTTCTGGCACCCTGGGTCCCTTTGGGGTACACCTTGGTTCTCTTCTGGCACCCTGTGTTCCCTAGGGTTGCACCTAGGTCCCCTTGGGGTACGCTTGGGTTCCTTTGGGGTACCCCTGGGTGCCTGGGGGTACTTCTGAGTCCCTTTAGGGTACTTCTGGGTGCCCTTTGGGGTACCCCTTGGTCCTCTTCTGGCACCCTGGGTCCCTTTGGGGTCCTCCTGGGTCCCCTAGGGGTGTGCCTGGGTCCCCTTGGGGTACACTTGGGTTCCTTTGGGGTACCCCTGGATGCCTGGGGGCAATTCTGGGTTCTTTTGGGGCACTTTTGGGTCCCTTTGGGGTACCCCTGGGTGCCTGGGGGCACTTCTGGGTCCCTTTGGGGCACTTTTGGGTCCCTTTGGGGCACTTCTGGGTCCCCTTCTGCCACCCCGATGACACGTCTAGGTCCCCTTGGGGTGCTCCTGGGTCCCCCACTGTCACCCCGGGGTGCTCCTGGGTCACTGGTGTGACTGGTCAGGTCACTGGGAGCGAGCGGGCAATGACTGGGAGGCAACTGGGAGTCACTGGGGGTGACTGGAAGGTAACTGGTGTGACTGGGAAGCGACTGGAGGGCAACTGGGTTTTTTCCTTGGGGGGAGGTAACTGGGGTGACTGGAGGCAAGTGGGATGTTACTGGGGGGGTGGGGGTGGTGCCTGCGTGTTACTGGGAGGTAACTGGGAGGTAACTGGGGGTTACTGGTGCAGGGGACCTGCAGTGCATCGAGGAGAAGCGCAAACGAACCCGCGAGACCTTCCGCTCCTTCGTCCAGCGCAGCCCCCTGCC